AGTAAAGGACATATGGAAAAGGTGGAATAAATGCTATAGATTATGAAATACCTTTACACGAATAGGCCATGTATTTGTGATGTTACTTAGATTTGCAACATTAGCTTTTCAAAAATTGACCATTAGAGCATATGAAAAAAAAAACTTTTGTGAATTTTTATGATGGTGATCATAATACAGAGAAACTCATGTATTTATATAGAATACACTACGACTGCAAAATGAATAAATAATGGCCAGGTGAGATTTAATCAAATCTTAACACATGGATTTTGTCAATACACAAGAGTATCAAATCGTACGGTATCTATTGAGTATATCCAACAAATACATCTAAAGGAAATATTGACAAAAGATATTATTTTCTATTAAGTTTTTTTTTTCGATAAAAATTATTTTCTATTAAGCTGTTGGAGGAATTGTTAAGTTGTTGTTATAATCATAAAAATAAATTACGATCAACAAAATGAGAAGCTTTAGGAGAAGATCTGTGATGTTGGTAAATAAATTTGTTATAGCAAATCGTAAGGTATTGTTAAGTTTTTAAATAACCCGGATTGTTACATAATAGAATTGTTACGCGGGCGGTGATGGAGGAATTTGTAAGTTGTTAAATAATCCGAATTGTTTAGAAGATTTTAATGAGTAAATAATCTCCAATAAATACTAATTCAAACTATTTAATAAATGCTTGATTTTCTTTATTTCTGTTTGCTTGATTTTTATTTATTTAATTAGTCCAAATTTGATATCTATGTCATCATTTTTTTCAACCATATCATCCTTTTTTAGATCCATGTAATAGTTTACAACCAACCAAATTAAAACACCTAAGTCAAACTAATAAAAGCACTTCCCTTTTAATAGTAAGTGGATTTTATGAATAAAGCTTTGTGCAGTTTTGTAATGTTTGTATTATTCATAAAACATTGTGGCTTATTATTTTAGTAATTTTAAATTTACCCGTCAGAATTCCATCGGAATGTTCGAGGGTTTTCATTTACGCGCACAATTTTCATTACAGCGGGATTTTTTGCCGCGAAAATTTTTGATTTCGACAGAATTCCGAGGGTTTATTTCCGTCAGAATAATCTTTTATATGCAACACGCAGATCTCTTTTTCTCCACTTGCAAAAAACGATCTCTCTCTCTAAACTTCTCTTAAATCTTCTCTGCCTTCTCCCTAAAAACACATCAACTCTTATTAGTCTTCCAATCTCTATTGTAATTTGTAAGTTCTTTCAATTCTTCACCACTTTCTTTGGTTTAATTGTATTATAATTGTTGATTAGATGAGAAATATATCATG